GTTGGGTTTTGCTCCAGTGTGTGTTTCCCTGCCTGGTCATTAATTGGTACAAACCTATCCATGAGAAGCCCAAATACATTAAAAACCTATTTACAGCTCTGGACAATATCCTGACAGTTTTCTGATGAGTTGTGACTTGAATGTGTATTTGCTCAGGTTTCTTCCTCTGGGAAACAATGCTGAGCCAGAGAGCTCATTTAATATGTAAAGCACTCGACGTCTGAAATGTTAAACAAACAGGAGATTTTTTTACTTAAAACCCTCAGTGACCTGGATCATTGGGCCCTGTGTTGAAAATAAGTCTCTCTCTCTCTCTCCACTTGCAAATTCATAATCAATATTTTGATTCTCACTATCCAATGATCTTCCCCAGACAGCTCAACCTGTCAAGTCTTCCAGTCCCTGTATGGCTGGATATAGTTTCTCTTTTGAGAGGTCTAGGACACAGTGACGTCCATCACCGGTTACTCTCTCATGGTGGAAGATTTCTATACGAGCACAAGCCACGTGCCAAGCTGAAGGTCTGGGAAGATCTTTACTGTTTATACCTTGCCTAGAAATGCGGGAACCCAAATTGAATTCTTGGACTTGGCTTTACTAGAGCTCTTCAGGTGGGATCCTTGGTTTGCTTGAGATTCCTCAAAGGTTTGTTTGCTCCCGGTCTTGTTCTGTTGTTGTATAATCGGGTCTTCCTCCTCCCCTGGACTGTCCAGAATACGGGTTTCGGACAGGGAACCCACTTTGGACTCCACAGTACACACGTGCCGATTCTGAGACTGAAGCTTTGATCAGATGTTATGTGCTAGGGTCCTATCTAATTAGACATAAAGCACGCCCACTACTGTGCTACCTGAGCGGTCTATAGACTTACCCTCCCAACAGCTCCATGCAGTAGCAAAGGACTATTATCCCCATTTTATAGATGGGAAACCAAAGTCTTGAGATGCTACAGCCCAGATCCACAAAGAACCTCAGCCATCTAAAGTTGGAGAGTTAGGTATCTAAGGCTAAACTGAAATACCCCCCCTTTAAAACTTTACATCAAGGCTGGACATCTTTGTATAAGATTGGCTCTCTCTCACAGAACAAGGGGAGGTTGTATGGCCTGGCCTGTACTGTGCAGCAGATTTGAGAGCTGGTCTCTTCTGCCTCTTCAATCAGTATAGTTAGAACTGGCCCTTCTGCCTTTGTAATCTGCTTCTGTCATTATTTCCCCTTCTGCCTCTAGAATCTGTGCATTAAATGACATTAAACCATTTGTATCAGCCTAAACAAGGTTTAAGTGAAACTGGTACAATCTCTTACAGAGTTGAGTCTTAATTGTGAGCCAACCTGTAAACCAATGCAGGCTGGGGAAGGAGTTTTCAGAGGCCCGAGGGAGCTTGTCCCAGCTGAAAAGTCCCAGCCTGAATAAACAGAGCAGAGAGCACGTGCCAGATCCCTCTGCTCACCAAGCGCAGGGAGAAGGAACATGACTAACAGAAAAGAGCCCTGTCTGCAAGAGCTAGACTTCGTACAATAACACAGGTGTCCAAAGCAAATGCCATTGCACAAGCCCTGGCATTCACAGTCTGTGTACGAGGGACTGCCCAGGGACCATCGACTGGCTGAGGTGTAGGCTCAGGGGTGGCAGCAGCAAGGGGGGTTTGCCAGTGTATAGAGCTGCTCTGGGAAGATGCAGGGCCAAGACAGGCAGTTCTCGAGTCATCAACACAGACCCGGGGCCGTGGCACGCGCCTGCTCTGGAACGGCTATAGAATTCAATATACGTAATTAACTCCACTGCGCAGCGCCTGCACCCGCTACCCTGTGTGGGAAGGGCCTCACCAAGATTAGCTGTATTCACTGGAATGGGATTACTGAAAACCAGCCAGGCTCAATCACGAATGCTTCAGTTTTCACTGTGCCTGTTTCTAGATGAATCACTCCCAGCCTGCAGCCTTCCATGCTGTAGACTGCGATCGGCCTTTCCCTTTCCTTCCCTGCTGTGCTCCCACACTCTGGCAGCTATTCCTCTCTGCTTTTGATGGGCCCACGTTATGGACAATTCAGGTCCTTGCAGGTTACAATAGGACTTTATTTTCCCTTTTAAGGAAGGCAGTTTGCCCTCTAACCCCCTGGGTGCTTGCTCCCAGAAATATCTCCAGTGTGATATGCTCATTCAGAGCTGTGAACAGGAGAGATCACAGTCACTCTCTTGCTCTCTGGTTCTTTCCCCTTTGCTTCCAAATGTTGAGAACTTACCCAATCTCTCGAGTCATTCTCAAGGGGAAAACGTCACATTTGGTCAGAAACTCCAAGTGCATCACTCGAGCATCATTCTTCCAGGCAGCTGTCTCGGGCTCAGGGGACAGACAAGGAAGGCTGGCCTTGCAGTTAGTATACTGGGTTAAGATTTAAATACTACACACACTTCCTGGCTCTGTTAGATTTTATGCTCTGGGCCTCAGCTCTCCCATCTGCACATGCTTCTAGCAACTGTTAAGTCTTCTCCCCTCTCATCCACTTATTGGCTGTCTTGTCTAGTCAAACTGCTGGCTCTTGGAAGCAAGGATGGTCTCTCATTACGACACATCCCATAACAAGGCTCCCATCTTGCTTGCAGCCCTTCAGACACCCCTGTAGCGAGCAGGAATTCAGGCAAATCATTTAACCTTTCCATGCTGTTTCTCCTGCAACTCAAGCTCCAATTGCAGAGGGGCACGGAGGGATTTCACAAGTCTTATTATGCAGCATGTTGTGGCAGGAATGGCTGGCAGTTTCAGCAGAGAGGAAACACCACATATGAAGCACTTTGGAATGAAAGATAACTTAACACCAGACAGCCAACATGACCAGGTTTACCAACGGGACAGCTAACATCCTCTGCCTGGCAGACTCCAACGCAGGGGCTGTATCTCATTCCATACGAACCCCAAAAAGCACCAGAGGAAGAAGTATAACAGTGAGCTGTGAGGAAGAAGATGGGGAGGGGAAGTTTGTCCTCAGGACTCAAACACGGAGACCTTTTATTTGCGTTAAGATTAGAAACATCAGGACGATGGACCTGAGCTTCCTAGGGCTTGTCAGGGCTTCGAGCTGCCTGAGCCCTTCACAGAAGGAAAAATGATGCCTCCTTAGCTACACACCTCTTCACGCAGGGCCTGAGTTAGGCTTGCAGCCTGACCAAGATCCGCTGCCTCGCCGGTTCATCAGGAGACACGGGGCTGCAGGCAGGGCCTCTCGGACAACTTCCCCTTCAGGGGAGGCTGCAGCTCGTCAGCCAACAGGTCCCATCCAGGCTGTGGCAGCCAGTCAGTACCTTGTGCCTGTCCCCAGCAGTCCAACCTACTTCTGAGAAAGGTGCTGGAGCTCCACAGCCAGGGGAACCCTGGGACTTTGAGTGCCCCAAGCCCAGCTTGCAGGAGGACCACCAGGCCCAGGTCCTGCAGCGCCTTCTCAAGCAAACACTGTCCAGCCCAGGATGCACTCCCACCCACCCCGGTAGCACCTGAGGAGCAAACTCCCCTCTCCAGGACCTCTTTCTGATTTGGATATTTAACTTGAGGACTAGGGCCAGCATGAATGAGAGGGGAATAGACTCCTGGGCAGGACTTAAAGCCCCCCGGCATGCCAGAGTCCTGGCTGCTGTCACCCACTCCTCCGCACAGAAAGGAGGCAGGCCCCTTTATGGTATTTCCCTCTTTTGCAGATTGCTTTGAAAGGATGTGGGTGAAAGGAAGGACAAGCTTAAGTTTCTTAGAAGAAACTTCACACTTTACCCAGTTTCTTCTTCCAGATCTGGATTTCTGATCCCTGTAATAGCTGCATTATTACCCTGTTGGCCTGGTCAGTGCGAGGAAGTTACTGCACACTGAGTTTGTATTTCCCTGCATGAAGGTCCTCAGGCTGGGAGCCACAGCAGTTGTCTAGGAATGGGAAAGAGGAGAAAGGAAAATGTAAAAAAGGGAAAGGGGGGGGAAAAAAAAAAGTGAAGTTGACTGCATTTGTTGGAAACTTTACAGAGCAGATGTGGTAACAAAGTGTTATTTTTATCCTCATTAACATGGATTCACCAGGGCGCACAGCCTATAACAAAGTTAAAAGGGGTATGACCCCAAGATGTTTGAGCAGTATTGGTTTCATTTAAGGAACAATTAGAAAAAACAAACTAAACAGGCAGTGGATACACGAATTAGTAACCCACGCTTCGGGGCAGTTACAGGACAGTCCAGTACTTCCAGGCTCCAGTACCAAGCCTGATGGCTGCTTTGCTAACCTGGAGACTAAAGGGACACTCAGTAGCTATGAAGGGAGCACACGTTCCCTGGGAAGATGACTTGGGAAGGAACTGTAGGCCCCAAAAAATCTTGTACTGCTGATGATGGGGGGGAGAGTTTCTATTAGACTGTAAACACTATAGAAGCTAGATGTTGCAGAGTCTTGTTTAAGGCCAGCTCTCTCCAAAAGCGCTTTGGTCCTAACATACACACTTTGCTCCAAGGGTCTCCAACAACTGGCAGTCATGGTCAGAAGTCCTGGGAGGAACCAAATTCCAGCAACTGAACACGCCGGGCCTGCTGAGGCACTCACAGCAGCGGGGAGCTAGGAGCCACAGCTGAAGGCTTGTCCTTGGAGCAGAAGAACTGCACAATTCAGCACAAGAAAAGCTAGAGCAAGGGCCTAAGGGGGGGGGGGGGGGTGTTTAGAGGGCAGACCTGCCATTAGTCCCATCCCTGACAGCAAATCCAAGCAAATGAGGCATCTAGCTAGGGATAAACCACACATGAAAGCACTGAAGAAAATAAAGCCAGACTCCCTCTCCCCCCGCCTACACCTCCAAGTTCAAGTAGTGATGAACAAGCTGGGACTATCTTCCCCTTAGATGCAGCAGGATTCTTTCATCATCCAATTTAGAAACCAGAGAGAGATTTTCCTACAGCACTAGCTGGATACCACCACTCAGTTGCATTAAAGTCAAGAAAGAGAGGGGGAGAAAGAGACCATCCATCCACTTTTCAGCAGTTTTAATACAGCCATTAACTTTTATTTTAGATGTTACAGGACAGTACAGTATCAGTCTTAAAAGGGAATCGGTCAGGTTCTCTTTTCCATCTTAAAAAAATCCCCAACCAAAAAAAACCCCCAAACCAGATTAAATTCTGTGCAAACACTTGGCAAACTACTTCAAGATATCTTGGTGCCTGTGGAAAGTGCTGTGCTACTGCTCAGGAGAGCAAAGTGCTATTTCACCATAGCCAAAGGATGGTATAGGCAGCAGACATGCAAGGCTTCTAGTCGCAGCCTTGTGAGGCTGGAGCAGGATGGGACACCTTCAGGACAGAGCAGTTTAGCTCCAACAAGGAGTTTTGTTGAACCCCAGCCTGTTCATCTTCGGTTGCAGAGACAGATGCATCAGATATGCAGACCAAGTCAGAAACATCTACCCACTTCACAGGATGTTGACCATCGTGTATGCTCCAGGCACAGGGTGGATTTAGACTGGCTTTCCTAATATTTACCTTGATAAAACTCTCTCTTCAGGCAGTTTCACTTTTGCCACCATTTTATTTCAAATTTCTCCACTGTGTCTCTTGGACTATTCTCTTTCTGGCCCTCAAAATGCAACTCTCCTTCACTATTGGAGATGTTCCTCAATAGTGTGAACAGATACTACCCTACCCCTCAACCCTTCCTCTCCAAAATCCCTACCATACACAAGATTTTAGTTTTATTAAAAAATAAATAAATAAAAAAAAAGATCTAGTACAGCATCTCAGTGAAGCAACCTATCAGCAAAAAGCAGAGGATCCCAACTGGTGTAAAAAATAGATTTTAAATAAAATAGAATTTCTATAGGAGAGCAAGCTAGGTTGTAGAAGTCCGATTCTGTATTTTACAGAAGGCTGAAGCCTGTTTGTCCAATCCACACATTTAAAAAAAGTAAGTTACATTCATGCTACAAAGTTAAAAAAAAGAGAGATAAAAGCTTTAGACTAGAGCATGTCTAGAAACCAAAGACAAAGCAGCATACAGCGTGCTAAGAGTCACGTATAGCGGAATGTTCTTAAAAATAAGCCTGCAACTGGTTAAAGCTAGATTTTAGCCTTTCTGTCCCGGCTGTGACTACTGTAACTCACATGTGACCCTATCACGAGAATGATTTGGTCTGCTATACAACACTAGTTTCACTTCTTAGCTCCTCCTAAGAGTTGGGTAAGTCACAGCTGCAGTTTCACTGTCTCAGCATTTAAAAATAATAAAATAAAAATCCCACACCAACATCATAACTACAGTTCCAGTAACTGAACAGGATCTGCTTTAGTTCTGGGGGCCTGGGCACAAGATTCCCACCTCCATTCATCAGTAGGGAAGGATGAGGCCAGTTTCTGTTTGATGCTTGGTACCCACCGAGCACAACAGAATGGGACCAACACATTCAAGCCTTTGTGAACGGGCAAGTTCTGCAGGGTGAGCTGTTAAAAGTTAGCACGTGTTCTAGGACCAAGAGTCAGATTTGTACAATGGATTCTCCCTCAAGACACTGCCTGCCAACAGGGCAGACTGTACGGTGATTTTTGAATATGCATCTCTGCCAGAAGAAAACTAGAGCATGTTACAGGTGCAAGGAAAAAGGAAGCATTAAGTGTTCAAATACTGTGGGAAGTGGATGCAAATACACGCATTGAGTCAGTGAATTGCTTTTGCATTCCATTCTGGGTGGAGCTTGCTTACGTTTTAGCCCGATAGCAAGCTGTATAGGTCGCACGCAGAGCGCACGCAATTCCTTAAAGGATGGAAGGCAGCGACTGTGAAGTACGAGTACGTGGGACAGACCCTGAAAGGTGACAGATCTAAATGACTGTTCTCACATAGTTCATTCCCCTACCTCACTAGGGTCATTACTGCCTTCCCCACATTTAAACTGCATCTATACAATGCATGTGCATTTTATTCTAAGAATATATACATCCTGTCAGTGCTGATCACCAATGGCTGGAAGCATGCAACAGGTCCTTGCGTGAAAGGTTCTCAAATGAACAGAAATGGCTGTTGTTATGCTCAATAATTTCAGCAGCACAAAGCTCGTGTGTGCTTTTGCACTCAAAAGCCATTAGCACAGCACCAGACCGCCTCAAGGAATAAGCAGCTAATTGCCTAAACATGAATTCCCTTACAGCGGCTACCATCTTCGATACATTCCAAAATGATCATATCTAAGACTTCTTGACAGCAAAAACATGGTTTACACTTCGCTCTGTTTCATGTCTAAGCTAACTAATTTATACCTGTATTAACACACTGCTTCAGGGCTCTGGTTGCACATTCTAAAGGGAGGGTGGGGCGTGCACTTGTATCTGAAAAATGATTTTCAAATAAAAGCTTTTATTAAATAGGAACATTTCTAAGCTTGGCTTCTAAGGGAGGAGATGGAAGTCAGCATTTGGCCCAAGCTCTGGTGCACTATCCCTTTGGAGGGGATCTGCAATTTGCTTTTGCACTTCAAACACACTCACCTAAAACAGGCTACACACTCCAAGGAGAAGGTAAACTGCACAGCATGGGGAGAGGCTTTCAGAAGGTAGGAAGGTAAAATGATAATTAAGATCTGCCTAACATTAGCTGGATAGTGCAGTGAGATGGTTTTAAATACCATAGACTCCCCATTGGCTGGCAGTCAGCTTTATGAAAAGCTCCAAGAACAGCTTCTAACTGAACCTTACCGGACTGGGTGTGTAGTGTTCAACCTAGCATTCAGCCCGAGTCCTGACACTCCTGTGCCTGGCTTTTCAGAAGCACGTTCAGTTGGGCAAGACCGACCTAAACCTCACTTGCCCCTTTTGCCCCGGCCCCTCCTGGAAGAGGGTTTGCCTGTGCCCCCTGCTGGGGTACTCGCAGAAGATGCCATCGCAATGTTGATCTGTCCTTCCTGGATCTCCTGCCTCGTCTCAGCCGGGAGGTGGTTAATTTTCTGCTGTGTTTCTAGATAGAACATTACATCTCGCAGCTGCTCCTGGATCTCCGAGATCTGCAGGTCCTTCTGCTCACAAGTTTCCTTCAGCACCTTCTCTTCTTCCTTCAGCTTGTTCTGAAGCAAGACTTGATTAGCTCGCAAGCATTTGTTCAGTTCTTGTTCCTCCTTCAGCTCACTGGAGAGCTTTGACACTTTGTTATTCAGCTGAGTGCACCTTAAAAATGCATGCAACAGAGAAGTTAGGCTAGGGGTGGGCAAAAAATACAGCTCATGGGCCAGATCCAACCCGCCAAGTGATTCTATTCAGATCCGCAGCGGGTCCCTCCGTCCTGCCAGGCCTAGGCATGGGGGGGCAGCCCAGGCTGTGGAACATGCGACTAGTCCCACCACCTCTGGGTGAGGAAGTGCTACCTGGCATGGAGCTCTTGGGCATGCCAGGAACTGTTGTCTGCAGGGCCGGGCAGCATGGCAGGGGCAGCCGGACTTGGCTTCCTAGCAGCTTGCATGAGTGGCAGGTTGCTCTCTCACTAGTTGCTGCTACCAGCGTCACCACTGCCACTAGACCCAGCCCCACTGCCCAGGCACTCCAGCCTGTCTGCCCTGCACCCACTGCCAGGGGTGCAGGGTGGAGCAGACAGGTGGGAGTCCATAGAAACTGGCCCATGACATCTGTGGGCAAGGTGTGCTCGGCCAGAGAGTGGTGTCAGAGTGGGGTGGGCAGGCGGGCAGGGCCAGGATCGTGTAGCAGTGACAGCGTGGGGCTGGGGCTCAAGGCAGAGCCTCAATCCGTTTGCTGCACATCCCATGTGCTGGTTCCACAAGCAGCCTTCCACCTCCTCTTGAGAGACTGAACCCCTTCTGATTGCACAACTGACCAGCTTCCTTTATTGAGTGGGCGCAAAATGTGAAAGGTTTAATGAATGCTAAATATGCAGGCTATGTGGAAAAAGCCGAGAGCTGGAAAACCAAATGGCATTAGAGCCATTTTAAATGTAACAGGCACCCAACAGAACTGGGGCATCAGATTCCTGAAATCAATAGGGTCCTTACCACGCTAATTAAGAGTTAACAAGGATCCAATGGAGGATTCCAAAAAAGGTAAATCAGATCTGTTTTAGTCAGAGGAGCTTCAGAATAAAATATAGTTAGACTTGTGAAAAATGTCCTCAGACAGAAACACATACTTTCGTTCGACAGATTGTTTCTCCTTCAGTAACTCGTTCAGCCTCTGTTCCAAGTTATCGCACTTCTCAATGGTCTCTTTAAATTTGGTCTTCATGTTGTTAATCTGTAAAAACAAACACAGAGACTTCAAACAGAGCAAAGTCCTGTGCACTTTCATTATGACATTCACGTTTTCTGGAGCAGTTTGTAGACTTTGACCGTTTACTATATTGTGAGAACAAGCCCTAAAATGACTGGAAGCAATGGAAAAAAATGGTTTTTTTTCTCCTTTTCAAAGAAATACTTACAATAGCACTGCTGATAGGAAAATGTAACGCACAAACCCTGACTTGTAGCTAAATCTCCATATACACTACTTCCAAAGAACTATGACTCAGCTCACAAAGATGTGCGATGACCCAGCTTGACACTGTTGCAAGGCCACAGCAGGTCTCTCACTGCTTTTTGTTTAAATGCAGTTAGCTTAAAAAGCTTTAATTTAAGAACATGAACTCAGAGGCAAGTTTCTGCAGCTTATTAGGATTTAAATAGTTCCATGAAATTAAACATTCAATCCTAGGGCTTTCGACTGTTAAGTTCTCCTCTTTGCCCACCATTTAAAAAAAAAAAAAAAAAAGTTTATACCTGGTCAAAATTTGAAGGAAAAAAAACCATGGTTTCACCTCAATTTTGACTAAGCAGCAGCATGCCACTCACGAGACAGTAGCCGACGTTCGCTCCTAGGCACAGCTATTGTAAGCAAAAGAACGTACAGGCTACTTTTCCTGTTCTTCTATCAGAATTAGGCAATACTGTATATTAAATTCACCTAGTGCTAAAGCACAGGGGTTTTGGTGGTTTTTTTTTGTTTTTGTTTGTTTGTTTGTTTTTTATTTACACACACACACACACACACACACACACACACACACACACACACTCTAAATGCGACATAGGGAGACAAGGAGTATTTTTGTACGCTACCCAGGAAAGAATTATTGATTAACTTGGGCAGAGGGTCAGCGTCGAGTAAGTGCTGCTGATACAGAATTCAAAGGACACTGCTTTCTTGCACTAATAGCTGGGCTGAATTTAAAAAGCCACTGCATCTACCCATTTCAATAGAGCTGCTATAAAAGCAGGTCAGATTTTAAAGTTTTCCAGGTTAAGAATTGAATGTTTAAGGCAACTTGAGATGATTTGGGGATTCACAGCTGTTCAGGGCTGGAAGGGACCTTAGTAGAATGAGTCCAACTCCCTGCCCTGGGCAGGAAAGAGCGCTGGGGTCAGGTGAACCCCACCAGGTGGGTGTCCAGTCTCCTCTTACAGACCTCCAAGATAGGGGATGACAGACTTCCCTCTGATAATAGAATATTTTGCACAGTGAAGCTCTTCTCTTATAGGGATCTTCCAGTTTAGTTCCACAATCTTTAGAATAAGCAGCAGCCTAAGTCTACACAGCCTAGGTCTTTTTGGATATAACAACTGGTTTGAAGCCAGTATTTTCAGCTATTTCAAAGAGGATTTTACCATAACCTTTCACTTCACAGACCAGACCCGTCAGTTAAATTCTTCAGCTATTTCTTACTTAAATCCATTCTTTGTCAAGGCCTATTTCTCAGCTAATTTTAGAGGGAATTCTTTATACATTTATGGAGTTGCTTAACAGCAGACACAGTGCCTGGTTAATTAGCAGTTACAACATTTATGCAACCCTGCTCTGCACCCAGGCAAAGTTCAGCTAAGGATTCGTCCAGGAACTTGGAGGCATAAAAAAGGCGAAACCGGTGGGATTCTACTCGACTCCACTGAAGCACCATGGTTCGTTCGGCTCAGGACATTTTGAAACCCAGCCCAACTGCCAAAATATCCCATGAATCTTTTAACCAGCATTTTGAGTGATGTGTGGCATGGGCAGGTAAGCAATTTCTCCTTCCATTAGCACATGCGAGTGTGCCATGAGTCTCCTCTACCATTTGCCATTGGCTGGGAGATCTCCTGGCCTGCAAGGCAAGCTGCCGGACACGGCAACAACTTCCACACCGTGTTTAAGCAAAGTTTCAACCCCACTGGCAATCTGCCCATTTCTGCACTGCTGAACAGCATGTTGCTAGAACCCATCCATCAAGATAAAGAACAGATCTGTGCCAGTTCTCCTCAACGGAAAAAAGTGAACTCTCACTCTCTTAATAGGTGGCCGATGCCAGGTCATTCATTACACATTAATGGACTCATTTTTCTTAATTCTCCAAACACACGCAACGTGCACGAAGTCAGTGGGAGCCGTGGGTGCTCAGCACATTGAGAGCAAGGCCAGAAACAGTTAATAAGACAAGAGAACTTACTTCTTCAGTGGTATCCTTTTCTATTCGGACTATCTTGTTTTCCCAGTAGATGCGCTGCGATTCCAGCTGGCTTGTTAGCAAATACGAGTACTATAATAATGGCAAACAGAGCTGGACTAAGGCACCGTTAGATCAAGTGTACCATCAATTTATAACCCGAAGGGCCCCAGAAAGTTTCTCTCTCGTTTAAAAACAAAAAACCCTACAGTGAAATTGTGTCAAGACAGCATTCTGAACGTTTTAGCCGAGTACAAACCGCAGAGTCATTGGATGGATGAGCCAAAGTAAAAAAAAGTCAATTCAATTTCTATTGTATACTGAATAGCTTCTGGTTAGGGGTCTCCCTGAAGGCTTTAGATGAGTTGCCTCTGGGGAAATTAGAAAGAAAATATGAACACAGAAGCAGCAGACACAAACATGAAGATGTCAGCCAGCCTAATTAGAATCATTAGGGATACTGAAAACTGAAGGTGTTTCCTCCTCCTCACCATGTTTTCATGTGGATTTTGCTTTGTCATGGTAGAAAGCAAGCTTCTGAAATACCACGGGAAGGGTGTTAGGAGCTAGTCTCCATTTCAAGAGCATGCTGAGGAAAGACTGTATGTATACTGAAGATAACACTTGAGGAATAGTTATTTCCCTCTGATCAGAGGGATTTATTAGCAACGTTATTTTGGTGTTTAAAACAAGGACTTTCAGAATTCACATCCCACCTTCTCCCATTTTGAAATCTTTACAACAGGATGAAGACTGAGAGAGATCAGGATTTCCAGATTAAGACATACCAGATTATACCTTGAATGCAGGATTAAGCAGGAGAAAGACCTCTTGCCCATTTCAGGAATTATCAGACTGAGTCAAGACAGCTCGGTGAATTCTTCCTACAAATGTTTAGCTCTAGTTTGCTGTAGCAGAGCGCTTAACCCATATAAAAAGCTCAACTGAAGTTCTGCTAGTTGTCTGTCATCTTAAATAGCATCAATTAAAAATCAAAAAATGTATCAGGGGAAAGTTCAAGTTTACTCACATTTAAGGTTTAGAATAGCAAATTTATTTTAAAGGCTTTACTCTGAAAAAATGTTGGTAAAATAAAAAAAAGAAATGCAGCTTCCTGTTTCATTGGCATGGAAGAGTTTGTGACAGCTCAAAGTCACTAAGGGGTCCCAGAGTCAAGCACATGTTTGTGCACCCCTTCCCTTCCCAATACCTTCCACAGACCAGAGTTTGCCATCAGTTACTCTGAAACACTACCAATGCGACTGACTTTGCAGAGATGCAACCAACTGAATTTCATGAACAATTCAATGCATCATTAACAGGATGGAACCAGCTCCCACTCCTGCTGGTGTTGACTCGGCAAAGCCAGCGAGTAAAAGGAAAAGCAGCGACACACTCCTTTGGCCTTGAAGTCAGCCCAGCGTCATTCTTGTTAGAATCAATTCTGGAGTTGAGGCATATTTACATAAAAAAAACACACAGCAGCGTCTAAAGGAAACTAGAACACTTACCTCTAGTTGTAAGGCATCGATCTTTTCTTCTTGACACATATCCCCTTCACACTCATACTGAACTATCTTCCCATCAGTTTTACTGGCAACCAGACGATGGACATAATTATCTGAAGAGAGAAATTTGACCAAGGATTGTTTCAGCTTGATAAAACCCAAGCATTTGAACCTAACTGGGGCCAAGGGAAACAATTTACTAAGGATCTGTGTGGTCTCAGTGCTTCATGGAGGGCAAGACCTAGGAGTTAATGGACACATTTGACGCTTAACAGAATCTATTGGACACCATCTAGGATAAATCACAAAAGCTCATTCTCGTGCTATGAGAAAACCAATCTACCTCCTGCTAAAGTTCTTCCCATACTGCTGAAACTAGAGGGCTGTCCAGGTGCATTATGGGTTTACGATCTTTTTCTGAAGCATTTGGTACAGGCACAGAAGCTGCTGTACTAGAGCAAATAGATGTTCCTAAAACGTGGAATATTAAATACTACAGAAAAGCCCTTCAAATCCTCCAGAAAGCTAGGGCTTAATTAAAAATGTCTTCCTGGAAAGGTTTTGAGGACCGTTTCCACACAAGCCTGGTCACCCCTAACAAGCAGAAGGGAGAGGTTTACCTCCAGCATAGTCCCAGACTCTGTGGTTGGTCAGCTGCATTGCATACGTGTGCTGAGTCTCCTCAAAGTGCTTGTAAGCATGCCTGCTCACATAGCGCCCGCAGCCAATGTGCCCACATATTAAGCAGATCCAGAGATTCTGACAACAGAACAAGAAAGGATTTTGGACCAATATGTGAGCAACAAACATCACTGTGAAAAGCTGTGGGCACAGTATAAGGGATTGGAAAAGTGTACATCTGCTGCTCACAGTCCCTGTTGCTTCCCTAGGAAGAGGGCAAATCTTTGCCTTTCCTGAAGCGTCATTCAGGCTAGAGAATGAAACTACTTGATGATTCAAATACAGTATAAGCCTACTGAGAGAGGCATCAACCACTCCTGCATGTTAGATAAATGGCTTTCAAGTCACAGGGGTGAAGGGGACATCCTGGAAAATCTTGAAGCCGAAGTGAAGAAAGTAAAACTGGACAGTGCAGCTGGGTCACCACTCCAGGAGCGTACTGGCACTGGCACCCACACTGTATAGTTCCCCCTCAAACCTGCAGCTCCAAGCCTCAGAAAACCACAGAACAGGACACCTTTCTGGGATGAACCCAGCTGCCCCATACCAGTACCAAATCAAACAAACAGGAACCTTGTTCCAGGCAGAAGTGTGCCAACAGCAGTCATAGGCATCAAGGGAAAGAAGCTGCAATAGTAAAGGTGGACAGATTTCACCCTCCACACCTACTTACTTCTTGAACGCCACACTCAAAGCATTTATTCTCTTCCACAGGCTCAGGCGTTTGGCAGTACCTGCAGACAGGACACCTAGAGAAAGGCAGCAAGCAGCACTAGTTAGCCAACAGCGACCACAAGGTTCCTTGTGAGGCCAGCTGACAGGCTAGAAAATTTGGATCACACGTCATCCGGTGAGCGTATATGACACTCCCCACTGCATGGTCATACCTTTTGACTGGATCTCACCATCCGACCCAGATTTGCCTCCTGCCTTCGCAAGCCTGCTGCTCTTTCACTATTTATTCCTGTAAAACTGGCGAATGCCTTATCTTAAAAACAGAGGATATCACAGGACACTGTGTCCAGTCCAACTGCAGGCCAGGAGGCGAGGCAACTGGAAGGAGTAGAGAGGAGATTGGTCATGAGGCCTGGCTTCCCCATGGAGAAAGTATGCTAAGAACACAAAGTCTATGACCTCAGCTCTGACTTGTTACTTGTCCTCAGCCACAGATGCTGCGAGAAGCCACCAAGGAAGTCAATCTAGGTCTTTTAGACCATCTCAGCTAGCAGTGCCCAATTCAGGATCCTGATCTCAGAAGGGGAAGCAAAGCTGAGGGCACCTGCTAATCATGATGGGTACTGGCAACATACATCACCCTCCAAGCTCATATTTCACTCATCTTGGTTTGGCCATGCTTCCCCACCGCAGCCTCTGCCCTGTTACTTGGAGATCAATCCTGGACTAATCATTAGTTTGCCATCTGCAACAGGCTCCTGGGGAAGAAAGTTGCCAACATGCACCAACTAGATACCCTCCAATCTAATGCAATTACACACACAGAAAAAAAGTGTGTCAAGCAAGTGACTGAAGTCTGGTGATGACAGCTTTGTGCCAGACATACATTTTAGACTTTGATACTGTGGCAGTGTTTAGTCAGAGTGAACTAGGAACAAGCTGCATTAGTCAATGAACAGATTTTTACATATGTTTAGGTTGGCTTTGATTTATGGGGCCAAAGACTCAGTAAAAGCCTTCCTGAATTTAAAACAGATTCTGCTGGGGAAACCCACTAGCACAGCTGAGAAACCTCATGCAAAAGAGGTTTCGTGATACATGATGAAAGATCAAACTGAGGCTGGTACTCTAACGAAAGAAAAGCTGAAGAAAACAATCTGCAGTTTGGCACCGAGCTTCTTGTAGAAGTCTCTAACTGCCTGACATGTAACAAACAGCTACCGGTAGGAATGTAAAGTATGTGTGACAGATAACAGGACTGTTCTCTGTAGGGATTCTATAAAGGACCGACACGTACCTCACTGCTCTACCTAGTGGGATCTCATGGAATAAGAATTAAGGTTAAATAATTAAAAAACAAACAAACAAACAAAGCATGGGCTTTAAGGACAAAATGTACCAGCAAACCACATTTGTCATGTGAAATAACATTTATATCCCGCAGTTCATCAGGATGAATTGATTTAAAATCATCCAGAGATTTTAAAATCCAAGACCTCTGTTTAAGAGTCATTTTAATCTTCTCTTGTGTGAATGCCACTCATCTTCTGAAGGCAAAATGAATTTGTATTGTTCAATCTAAACACCAAACTATGCAGATTTACAACCAAATAGAACCTCTAGACTCTATAAGGCACATTTTTGCTCCTTACAGGGTATTCCAAGCCTGTTTGAGTAATTATTTTGCTTAAATTTTCATTGATCTTGAATTTGAGCATGTAGGAAGTGGGAAATGCTTATTAACTAGATCATTAGCTTTTTGCTCATGATGTATTGGGTGTATTTGCGTATCTAAATTAGACTGCAGTCTCCTTAGAGCAGAGACCTCATCCTGGACATTTTCCAGGCCCTACAGCTGCCAATGGCACGTCTGCAGAAACTCAGACATCCAAAAAATCAGCAGAGCAGATGCTGACCAAAGCCAGCCCCATCCGTACAGAGAAGAGGAGCAGAGCTGCAAAGCAGGTACTTCGAATTACAGAAAAGCAAAGCAACGTCTCTTACGTGGTGTCCTCCCACCGCTGCAGACACTGGCTGTGGAAGCTGTGGTTACACAAGGTGGTCAGAATCCCATTGACAGACTCATCCATTCTCTCCAGGCACACTGTGCACTTTGGGAGCTCGGTCAGATCCATTACAGGAAGGCTGGCTCCCTGCACAAGAAAAAGGGACGCAGGCTTATTGCTGGACCTCCTCCAAGCAAATTGTACAGCTAAAACTGCACTCTGAACACGAAAGCCTAAATGAACCGCTATGAATCCTAGTAAAATTATAGGCAGCCTAAAAATTCTACCAGAGGTAGCAGTGACTACCCTTTGTGGCCATTTTGACACTTAGTCTGGCACCAATTAGAGTACACATCTGGGACAGTGCTCATGAGTTCTTCCTAGACCTCCAAGACCAGCTATGTCAAGGACATGACTCTGACAACACCCACAGGTTCCATTCCCAGCTCTGATGCACTCCCTCTGACCGCAGACCAGTCATTTAATTGCAGTTTGCTTCCTCCACGTTTTAAACAGGATTCACATCAACCTCTTAGAGGGGTGTTGCAATGATCAGCTTGAAATACTGAGAATTAACTAGCTAATAAGGTGTGAGGAAACACATTCCTCTGGGACTAAACATACATCTTCCTCCCAGCAGGCCAAACGTAAAGGATATTTAGCCGCACTAAGCCCTATTCAGGTTTCAGCAGAACATAACTGCTCCAGAGAGGGAGACCAGGAGATCGGATGTATGAGGTCCCAGAACTTCAGAAGGCAGGGTTACTCCCCCAAATGCAGTGCTGCAGTGGCAAGATGCAGTCAGACTTGAGGCAGTTAAATGTCTGCAGCCCCCGCAGACAAGCCTGCCCTGTCCAGCTCTAGCTAATCCTATTTAACAGCTTGTAATACAGTCTGGAAAGGAAACTTACATCTTCTGATTTGAAGACTTCAGCCCTCTCCACATACACCAGCTGGCAAACATCTTCTTCTATGGAGTTGAACTGTCGGCTGTTGCATGCCATATAGAAGCTGTCTGCATCTGCCTAAAGACAGACCAGAGGAACAAGATTCATACTACCTGCAGCTTACATTACCAAGCAAGAAGGAATGAGAATTAGATATCCTCTCTCCCCCCGCTCCAAGTGCCCAAACAAGCATATATCATAAGTAAATCTCTTGATGTATGCTAATCACTATTCCATCTCTGCATTGGATTCAGCAGTTTTCAACTTAAACTGGCAGAAGAACTGAAGAGCTCTCAGCACTGGACACTTGCAAACATACTGCTCAAACAGCACTAGCCAATTTCTTTCTTTAATATCAGCTTTGTCTGCAGTCAACAATTCTGGCACTAACTGAAAGCAAATGCTGTTTCTTTGCAAAAGCCTGGAAGAAAGACACTGCCATCAGAAGGCCCTATTCAAAGGGATCAAGATTTGTACAGTATATAATTTACCTGCAGAAAAAGCTCAAATGCTCACTCTATGCAGATGTGTACTGAAGCACTTCATACCAGAGCATTACTTGAAAAGAAGCACTGCTGACTGAACACAAAATAACCTATCTGAGTTATTATGGATGAGCCACAACATCTGAAGTGCTGGCTTATTACCGTCAGCAATCCAACCGTCAGGAGGAAAGTGAGCTGGAAGTCAAGGCATTCTCATTCCTGTCTCCCAATTCTTGAATGATGAAACATGAAGCTGTTCCAGTTTCACCACACACCTTACTGACACACTTACACAGAAATAAAATGTAGAGCAACTCAAACGTGCTATTGCTGCATGCAGAGATGGCTGGTGAGGGCCTGCTGAAGCAGGGAGTCCGCCAGTTTTAAAAGACAAGTGGGAAGTTGTCTTGAATCAGTGGACTGGGCAAAAACTCTGTTGAATTAGTACAAAGATGGTTGGCATCAGACACTGCCCCCAAGTGAGTTTCTATGAAGGGGGCTTACTTTAAATAGGCTTGTGGGATTTACGTTGCGCACAACACAGGAGTGTTGAGCTTGTAACAGCTGAGGAAGAGACCCACAAGTATCTAGACATCGAGTTCACTTCAATCTTACCTCCCACCCCCTTCTCACAATTCTGGGAGGGAGGGAACAACGTATGCATGAATGGTCAGTCCCTGTGACTGCAACAGAAGTATAGGCTAGATGGTCTAATAGCTCCTTGCTATCCTCAGTTTCCATAGGAACTAATGCTGTCACAGAGATCAGGCTATTTCTTGGTCTGCTAAGACAGACTGCACAATGCATTCATATCTTAGTGAGCATCTGTATTTGCTTATTGCATTCTCTTCCACAGGGTTTTTAATGGGTGAGGTATTGAAGTCAGGCAGGATTTGTCTAGATCTTAATACTCTGCTGGCTATGATAAAGCAAGTAGTAGGCCAGGACGTGCATAACAGCATTGCAGCTGTACAAGCTGTAGGTCTATGATGAAGGCTAATGGAGGGCCAGCATCAGTATCACTTACAAAAAAACCCCCAACATTACATCACAGGAAGCCTCTCATAGCAAAGGCCCATGACCTCAAGAAACAGCAAGTCACTAAAACTGGACAGCGCCTGAAATTAGTGTTCATACAGCAGCCCATTTCCCAAACAGTAGAAACCTGGCACCACACTTCTGGGCTTTACCTGTGAGCTGAACTTTATCAGTACCATGTACTGGTTCGGAGTGGAATCCCGGATGATTTTCATGTGCTCAATGACTTCATAAAACGGGGCTACAAACTTCATCAGGTCATGACTGGTCATGGTAGCAGGCACCGTGAGAATACAGAGCATTGCACTGCGCCTCACATCTTCTTTCAAAGAGGTCATCTTACTAAGAAGACAATAAAGTAGATCTTTAAAATTGAGGAAGTCAAGACTGACATCTTAAGACCAGCTTACACAGGAGACCATACAGCAATTTAATGCTTCACAATTTAAATGTACCTGTGATTGTAAAGCTCTTTGCCTATTTGTACATAGTTAAGGGTTAAAAGGTGGTTGTAACAAGTCTGAAGACACCCAAAAGGTACTTAGTCATCTTTAAAGAAAGGGCTCACGTGTGCAACCAACAGATATGGACCCACAGTACATATTCTGATAGCTGTATTTTTGTAAGAGTACCTGGGCCTTGCAAACCACAAATACTCAAAATATTTCTAGAGTAAGCAAGCAATATTGATTACTGATGTAATAGCCATTGTGTCCTGGCCACTTTCAAGAACATCTGAAATTGATGGTTCTCATTCAGCTCCCTAAGGGGGGAGATAAGATTACGCCATCACTGCAACAATAACTTGGGAAGTGCAGATCTTTGCATTCATTTTAATATTCCAGGGGAACATGAACAAGGAGATCTTTGTCTGTGGGGTCCCCTCACACCTGATCTTTCTAGGGCCATCTTCCAACTGGTGTTTTTACTCCCACTGCTTACATGAACACTTGCTCTCTGAGACATCCTCACCCACAGCTGGAAGGGTTGGGCTTAAGTTACTATCATCAAAGCAGCTACGCAAGTCAGACTACACTAGACACTGTCTATGGTGCCAATACCCCAGGCTTCCTGTGCGTCATTGCTCCATCAGTCCTGTAGCAACAGCCCTAGTGTTCCTGACTCACCCTTCTGGATGGCAAGAGTCCATGGTGCTATTCCCACTAGATCTATAAGGAGTCAAATACATTCTTACTTTGTTTTGTACAGGTGCATAATGCCATGAGCTATTTCAACTGATGGGTTCCCACTGAAGAAGGAAATCTGGTCAGGAAGTTGTTTTGATGGCGAGTCTGGAGCAGCCTCACATTCTTTACTCTGACTGTCATGTTTACTTGTGTCATCAATGGATGAAGCTTCTGCAGATTTTCTTCCTTCCATTGCAGCTTTTGTCTCATCTTTTACAAATCAAAAGCGTTCAGATTACTGAACCACACATCAGAAACTTCAACTGCATTAAGTGCAATCTTATGTACAAGAGAGGATTTAGTTATTCAAAGTCAAATTATGACACGTGAAGCACAGAATAAATTATGTGCTTCTAAACAGTGGTCTCCTCACACTGAATAATCAACAGAACTGAGGCATATTTAGGCACCAGTTTGAGACACCTTTTAGCTGGGTCACGGGCGCTGCAAAGCTAGTCAGACAAATTCTGAAGGGTGCCAGGCTGAGTTTTGCAGTACGCTACTTTGTTACCCAACAACTACAAGTTAATTTTATTATTGCACTTAACATAAAAGCAATCAATATAGTTAGGATAATCCTTGTGCTTAGTTTTGCATTGCTTCGTTTTCAGTTAGCTTTCTATGCTGTGCAATTTTAAGGGCAGGGTTAAAAAAAAAAAAAAAAGAAGTCTCTCAGTGGCACAACTGAGAGTTTCAATATCCGCCTGCTATTCAAAGAAGATAGTTACAAGACGTAACAACACACAATCAAACCAGGGTAGGCTCAATGTTGCAATTCGTGCCTCGCAACATTCATGCTCTTAATTATCATCAACAAGCCATCCTTATTTAAGAGAAGTTTTAGATCAGATTTTGGGTCTATAAAAACTCTACTGGCATCACTTCTCATGTCCTTAAAAAGGCAGGATTTGCATTTACCAGGAGCTCAGCAGCTTAGAAAGTCAAGCCAATTTAAATGGCCAGCAGAGACTCCCTTTGCCTGATGAAGGGTGACTGTGCCCGAAAGCTTGCTAAGAACTTTTCCCCAACTACTCAGTAGGTCTGATAAAGATGATTATCACATCTACCCAAAGAAACTTGCAAGCAAATTTAATACTTTTAAGAGAATACCTATATGTTAGACTAGTAAAAACCTTACAGGCATTACAGACCGATTACTGGAACACCTTTTTCAAGTTTTAGAATGGTTACCTGGGTCAAGCTGTATCGTCTCAATGATCATATCCGTCATCTCTCTGCGGCCAATATGCTGGTGAATAATCGCTGCTTTTTCCACCAGCGCCTTTCCTTCTAAACAGGCTGAAGCAGAAGCGAGCGACTTTTCTTTGATTTCCTCATCAGACATTTGAGTGGCTAAGGAGGAAAACAATTAGCTACTTAAACAATGTGATTCGGAGCGAAAAACAAACAACGCCAGTGGAACGAGGGCAGAGCAGGCTTCCCTAATAACAGCCATTAGGTCTCTACCAGGTCATTACAATAATTCTTTAAGCTGCTTTTATTCCTTCTTCCGCAGAGTAAAACCATCA